CACAGCCTACGAGATGATGTGTTACCTTACAGTACTATACAGGTGTGTTGTCTGACCTTATAACGCTTTGTAGTAAATAAGTTCCAGAGTGCTGACAGATAGATAAATATATTGACGTTTTTGTTCAGTAAAATCGTCAAAAAATGACATTGAATTATCAAATGAATAAACATTGGAGGTACAGTACAGGCTGGTGGACTGTAATGGGGAACTATGTGATCATTATCTTGAGATCTGTTCCCTTTATTGATTTATCATCTTATAACTATCTCTGTGGTTTGAGAGTAACAATGGTAGGTTGTTATGTCTAATAAACAACCACAAAGAAAATAAGCTTTTAAACATCTACCTTGAACTGTCCTGATGGATGTTTAACATTGTAACTACGGTACACTGTCCATGATTAACTGAACCTGTATGGTACTGAACACTGACCTCCCCATCACTAGGATGATGGTAATAACTGGTAAATCACTCCTCAACAATAACCCACCACTAAGATGTAATATTCACACTTTAAACTACAATATTCAGGACTGGTATAATAAATATGACCACTAGACCAAAATGTCGCCCGGAAAGCCTCGTCTTGCCCACTAAGAATAACAAATAATCTATATTCTTCGTATGGTAGATATATTCCTCCCGATATAAAGTTAAATACAGCACCAGACACCGCCGTAACTAGATACGTTCACTTAACTATGCATCAGTTTAGAGACAATATTAACATACAAAATCGTTTTGCGGATATCGAATAGGCTTTAACCTGTGCCTTTGTATACATTAACCATTTGACGTTAGTTATGTGTAGTTATATATTATTTAGTACGTATTTCAGCAAAAGGACGACGGTTAGCAAATGCTATTAGTTGCAACCAATAGTCAGGTCTATTCCCCATAGTAAACCATTTGACCTGTATATTATATTTCCACCTATCAGCTACTGAGCCAATAGGAGGGCTGGGTCATGCCCTGCCCTCTGTCTGGCCAATCACAGTACAAACTGAGGGTGGCGCGACATGCCTGCTGTTCAAGGCAGGAAAGTGATGCCACACACCACTTGTGTCTGTGCAGTATCTATCCTCGGTAAAACACCACATACATTGATATTAACTGTATTACTGTCTCAGTGAAGGTCAGTAACATACAAGATACAGCGATGAATCAAGCTGTCCACACTACAGTTACCTGCTTGTTGCCTCCACTTCCCCAAGACCAACTATAGTACCCTCGACAGTACCTTTAACAGTACCGTGAACAGTACCGTGAACATAATACGGAGTTGATTATAGTTAATGTATTAGAGAGACATCACGAGTTGACCCTAATTGAAATAGGTGCGTAATAACGTTGGCCTCACGATTTGGATCACTTGAAGATTCACCATCCCAGCCTAACTCCTAAATAACGTTCGTGGTTAATCTTTAGGTGTGGAGATTATTCAGATGATCCCATATTTCAACAGATAATTCTCTCCGGGTAGCGCGATTGGTTAATACTGTAATCAGGTGACCCGACGATTTTAATTATGGATATATATTTATCTAGCCTCTAACTAACGCCGCCAGGTGGGTGACAGTTCCTTAAACACCAAACTCACTAAAACTAATCATTACACACCTGCATCTGACCATCACTGATCTTCACCGCCTCACTAAAACAAACAACTCCGCCATGTGTCAAGATTTGTTCAGAGGGAGAGTGTTGCCGTCATGTCCCATGATAAAAACAGAACTGGTCATTGGCAAGAGATCCAGACACACAGACAGAACGACATAAACAATGAATAATAATAACTCATAACAAAACACCAATAAAGGGATAGAAAACAATAAAAATGCGAGAGCAAAGACAAACACTAACTCCCCGAGAGGAAATTAGTAAATATACGCAGCCAGACGACCATCAGCTGATCTTCCCGCCAAAACTTTACATTATCACTCAGCACCCATCCACCACCCCATCGGTTATATAAGTCACTGGGTGTCTAGTAAACTGATCCCGTTAAATCTTGATGCCGACAACAATCCCTAAGTGCTGGGGAGCTGTGTTTATTTTGCTGACGGCGACCGACAAGACGCCATGTAACGCCAAAGTTATGTGCTGACTCATACACACACTCGCCCCGTCCCCCTCTCTCTCTTTGATTGCTTCTCTTTACAATTTACTTTTGATATTTTTTTAATTATCTAACACTACTTCACACAATACTTCACCATAATCTAAATATATAAACATACAGTTTCCACTACACTAATTAGAGTGGAAGTCGCGAGGAGGCAGACAGGTGTACAGTGACAACAGCCCTTATTACACACCTGGCTGAACACATCTGCCCTTCACGTGACGGGGTAGACAGGTGATTGGGGGGAGAGCCACCAGGTGTGTCATCAACACCACGTGGGTCATGTGAGTTAGTAAACAAAACAGGCCGACAGAGGCGTCTCTCCCTCTCCCTGCAATGTTTGTCTCTGTTACCATTACTATCTAAACATACTTATAAGAACATCCAGCTAAACCTGAACTTATACCTCAATGTGTTAAATAAACGAGTATTAAGATATATACCGTAACAAACCAATGTTAATTAAACACATGTTATCTACACGTACCTGACTTGTTATTAATTTTACAAAATTCAGAAGCCCCACTACCTCTTATACAGTACACGTTGAAAAAACTGTACCCACCCACCTTGTGTCACAGGTGGCGCACGTGCTCTTCGTAAATTCTGGCGGGAAGGTATTGATTTTTGGCGGTAAGGATGAGGGTTACGAGCTTATGGCGTGTGTGATGAGGTAGATATTGGTATTACAGGTGGAGGGACTCGAGCAACAGTATACTGTACACGACCTTGCCAGCCAGCCAGCCATCACATGGTTGTCAACTGCCAACATTTATTATGATAAAGTACTACTGTAGAAGACTGCCATTTACACCATAATCACAATACAGCACAAAGCTGAGAAACCTTCAACACGATCGTATAAAAAAATAAAATAAAGAGCAGTTTTCATCCGGGATCATCTTCACTTAATAAACAAACTGGTTTATGTTGGTTAGTGTAGTAAAGACGACAGGTGAGGTACACAACAGGACCAACACTATCACCACTTGTAGTAAAGACGTCAGGTGAGGTACACAACACGACCAACACTATCACCACTTGTAGTAAAGACGGCAGGTGAGGTACACAACAGTACCAACACTATCACCACTTGTAGTAAAGACGGCAGGTGAGGTACACAACAGGACCAACACTATCACCACTTGTAGTAAAGACGGCAGGTGAGGTACACAACAGGACCAACACTATCACCACTTGTAGTAAAGACGGCAGGTGAGGTACACAACAGTACCAACACTATCACCACTTGTAGTAAAGACGGCAGGTGAGGTACACAACAGGACCAACACTATCACCACTTGTAGTAAAGACGGCAGGTGAGGTACACAACAGGACCAACACTATCACCACTTGTAGTAAAGACGGCAGGTGAGGTACACAACAGGACCAACACTATCACCACTTGTAGTAAAGCACGGCAGGTGAGGTACACAACAGGACCAACACTATCACCACTTGTAGTAAAGACGGGCAGGTGAGGTACACAACAGGACCAACACTATCACCACTGTAGTAAAGACGGCAGGTGAGGTACAATAACAGGACCAACACTATCACCACTTGTAGTAAAGACGGCAGGTGAGGTACAATAACAGGACCAACACTATCACCACCACTTGTAGTAAAGACGGCAGGTGAGGTACACAACAGGACCAACACTATCACCACTTGTAGTAAAGACGGCAGGTGAGGTACACAACACGACCAACACTATCACCACTTGTAGTAAAGACGGCAGGTGAGGCACAACAGCACCAACACTATCACCACTTGTAGTAAAGCACTTGGCAGGTGAGGTACATACCAGACCAAACACTATCACCAATTTGTAGTAAAGACGGCAGGTGAGGTACAATAACAGGACCAACACTATCATCACCACTTGTGGTAAAGACGGCAGGTGAGGCTACCAACAGGACCAACACTATCACCACTTGTAGTAAAGACGGCAGGTGAGGTACACAACAGGCCAACACTCATCACCCACTTGTAGTAAAGACGGCAGGTGAGGCACACAACACGATCAACACTATCACCACTTGTAGTAAAGACGGCAGGTGAGGTACACAACAGGACCAACACTATCACCACTTGTAGTAAAGACGGCAGGTGAGGTACACAACAGGACCAACACTATCACCACTTGTAGTAAAGACGACAGGTGAGGTACACAACAGGACCAACACTATCACCACTTGTAGTAAAGACGACAGGTGAGGTACACAACAGTACCAACACTATCACCACTTGTAGTAAAGACGGCAGGTGAGGTACACAACAGGACCAACACTATCACCACTTGTAGTAAAGACGGCAGGTGAGGTACACAACAGGACCAACACTATCACCACTTGTAGTAAAGACGGCAGGTGAGGTACACAACAGGACCAACACTATCACCACTTGTGTATCTCACTAAAGTTTTTTTCTTTAAGTCTCGTCTTAAGCCGTGTGTCACCGCCCTGCTATCCCGTAATCTTTCGTCTGGCAGTTCCGGGGTTCAAGGTCGACATAATATTGTTTGTTTGTTTGTGTACAAGTTAACAGTTTCTGGTTCACATTGTTTGGGGCCGAGCAGACAGGTAGTGCACAGTATTAGCATCTCGGTGTACGTGTTGGATTGACTAACAGTTCGTGACAACACAGCCTTTTATTATACTAACCTTCATTAATAATGGAACATCATGTGATAAGCCTAAGTTGTTTGTTATAGTAACATATAGAAAGAATCTTCCAGGTTAATATTTCACTACTGCATTTGTTTTAGGGCAACATCATGACAGACTAAGTGTAGGACGGCGTAATGTGCCGACACCTTTAAGTTAGTAATAGAGCCAGGTTCCTTACATAAGAGTAAGTGTTGACTTACCCAGCGGTGAGTCACACAGCAGACACACGGCCGCAAGAGCTCCTGCAGACGCTCCTGAAATCTTGTTCACCAACAAATTGGGAGCGTATTTTTTTAGACAGGCAGCCACGCCCACGTGGTATATGCCCAGGAACCCACAACCCGCAAATGAGAAGTTCATGTTGACCTGGGGAGAAGTAAAATCCTAAAAACGATCACAAGTCCGAGAAACCCAACACACAGAGAAGTGAAGAGAGAGTGAGTGCACACAACCCACCCCAACCGCGTACACGCGCTGACTGAACGGATTGTTGTGATCCGACAGCTGAGAGGTGTGTATATCTGACGTCACAGGTTCCTCGCCGCTCATTGGCTCCTGATGGCATGGCGTGTCGGTGACGCAATCACACGCGTTCTGTGATTAGTCGATGTGTTGCAGAATATCCTATTTTTAGACTAGTGATTATTTTCCTTCTCAGTTAAAGTTGCAGATGTTCTTTTAGTCTTTGGCATTGTTTTATACAATGAATTATTCAGACACACGAGATTATATTTCTACGTCAACGGTCAACGAAGAAAGACACAGTACAATAATGTGACCTTTAGAGAAGCCCGGAAGGACCAACACCCTGAACATTACACCAATAACATACAGTATGTAACACCTTCACCCACCTCGGCTTACACTTCACTGGTGGTGAAGGTCACACAGCGGGAAGGTGGAGTGAATACTGATGAAAACGTTAGTGGGCGGGTGACAGCTGCCAGCCTCAGTGTTAAGCCAAGCTACACTAAGTCTTGCCTACTTAACTCTTCTTTATAAACATACAATCATTATTATTTAAGTTGTATAAGTTCGTTGAATGACATAATGAACGTTGGTGTGACACAACACGTCTTGATGGTTCACTGTGTCTGGCGGGTTTAAACTTACCGTAAGTGAAACAACGGCCGGTGGTGTTATACTATTAAAGGTATTAAGTGAACCACACACATTCTTACACACACACCTGTGGGAGTATTGTACTGTGCTGACCGTCTAGACCCACCGCATGGTTAACACACACACACCTGTGGGAGTATTGTACTGTGCTGACCGTCTAGACCCGCCGCATGGTTAACACACACACCTGTGGGAGTATTGTACTGTGCTGACCGTCTAGACCCGCCGCATGGTTAACACACACACCTGTGGGAACGTACTGTGCTGGAAGTCTGGAGCCGCCGCATGGTTAACTACACACCTGTGGGAGTATTGTACTGTGCTGACCGTCTAGACCCACCGCATAGTTAGCACACACACACAGTGGGAGTATTGTACTGTGCTGACCGTCTAGACCCGCCGCGGGTTAGCTTACACACACCAGTGGGGTATTGTACTGTGCAGCCGTCTAGGGCCCCACCATGGTTAACACACACTACTGTGGGGTATTGTACTGTGCTGACCGTCTAGACCCATATATGGTTAACACACACCTGTGGGAGTATTGTACTGTGCTGACGTGGACCCGCCATGGTTAACACACACTTTGTTGGAAGTTAGCCACCAAGCGGAGTCAGTACCCACGATTCTAGCAGCTGATCCAGGTGTATTATTGTAGTACACAAGAGCCGCTCACCGGGCGCCAACCACCTCCTGATGGAGCACTGGACGTTTAGCTAGGCCTGGTAGGTGGAAGCACTGGACAGTTAATGACCCTGGTAGGTGAAGCACTGGACGGTCAATGACCTTGGTAGGTGAAGCACTAGACGGTTCATGCGTCTGGTAGGTGAAGCACTGGACGATCCAGCCTTGGTAGGTGAGCTTTAGACGGTTCATGCGTCTGGTAGGTGAAACACTGGACGGTTAATGACCCTGGTAGGTGAGAAAAGCACTGGACGGTCAGCTGACCTTGATGGAGTGAAGCACTGGGCAGTTTCATGCGTCTGGTGGTGAAGCACTGGACGTTCATGCGTCTGGTAGGTGAAGCACTGGACGGTTAATGACCCTGGTAGGTGAAGCACTGGACGGTTCATGCGTCTGGTAGGTGAAGCACTGGACGGTTAATGACCCTGGTAGGTGAAGCACTGGACGGTTAATGACCTGGTAGGTGAGCACTGGACGGTTAATGACCCTGGTAAGGTGAAGCACTGGACGGTTCGTACGTCTGGTAGGTGAAGCACTGGACTTGATTTAATGACCCTGTTAGGTGAAGCACTGGACGGTCAATGACCTTGGTAGGTGAAGCTTTCTGGAGCGGTTCATGCGTCTGGTAGGTGAAGCACTGGACAGTTCGGCGTCTGGTAGGTGAAGCACTGGACGGTCAATGACCCTGTTAGGTGAAGCACTGGACGGTCAGTAACCCTGGTAAGGTGAAGCACTGGACGGTTAATGACGCCCGGTGGTTGAAGCACTGGACGGTTAATGACCACAGTAGGTGAAGCACTGGTTAATGACCTGGTAGGTGAAGCACTGGACGGTTAATGACCCTGGTAGGTGAAGCACTGGACGGTCAATGACCCTGGTAGGTGAAGCACTGGA